ACTTTCCCAACTAAGGTTAACTATCCCTTAACAAGTCAACATAGGTCAACACTGGTCAATGGTCAACGGTCAACTTTGACCGGACTCGGCGAGTGCACCATAGTGAGTTGGTGAGTCTATACGCATACACTGATTTCCCTGGGATCCTCACTTGACACGACGAGTATTCTCCTAACTCGACGAGTTCCACCTGGCATGAGTTGTGGGGCCTCCACGACTCAACTCGCCGAGTCTCAAGAACAACTCAGCGAGTCCCAGCTTGACTCAGTCCACCTGTCAACCCACTCTGACTCTCCCTGACTCACTGAGTCAATCCCTCAACTCGGCAAGACCACTCGCTGAGTGGTGCTGGGCAATCTTCATGCTACTCGTCGAGTCTGTTCATCGGACTCGGTGAGTCCATGCCATGCAACGACTCAAACTCAGTCCTGAGGTCAGATCTATTCCACTAACTCATAGATCCAGTCCTTCCAAGCCTATTTATCATGTAAAGTCGCTATCTTGATGTACATACAACATCTATATGACCATATATGATGATTTAGCCCCAAATACCACAACTCAAGGTCAGAACCTCCATTGCTCTTCATAAAGCTTGATGAGTGAGGCTCTCTGTACCTCTATGGATCCATATCCAAAGCCTCATCACTAGAAAAGGACTATTTGGGCATCAAATCAACCTAACAAAGGCCACAAGAAACCCTAAATGCAAATATACTTCATAAAACAGAAGATGAGCTGAATTAATTCCTCAAGTGCGATGATCTAAGCTTCAAATCCACAGTATAGCAACCTCCTTTGCTTCCTCTTGGTTAGGACCTCCTTCTTCTTGCTAAACAACACCACAAAGGTCAAGAATGCCTTCCTTTCTCTCTCAAAACGCTCAAGTACTCTAGGGTTTCTCTCTATGGATTGATGAGCACACATGACGGCCATAAGGCCCTTTAAATAGGTCTCAAACCCTGGGAATTAGGGTTTCATTACATAGCGTGGACTTGCTGAGTCCACTCTTGGACTCGCCGAGTCCACTCTTGGACTCGCCGAGTCCACTCTTGGACTCGCCGAGTCCAGACGCGAACCCACATCCAAAATCGCGAACCTACTCGGCAAGTTTGAGCTCCAACTTGCCGAGTCCACTCACAATTCTACAAAAATACACCAATAATAAATGCCTGGAAATTTCGAGTTGTTACAAGCACACTCCCATGTGTGACCACACACACACCCTAGGACCACAAACCCACTTCTAGGACCCTTAAATTGCACTACAATCGAGTAGAGACCTAGAACACTTCATGGATGCAATATGGATCTTGAAAACACCACAAAGGCACCTCTAATCAAGAGTGTATGGCCGCACACCCATGGCCGCACACACCTTTAAGGTGGCTATACACCCCCCTCATGGGAATCCTTAAGCTCCTTGCACTTAGTGTACGTAATCCCAAGTCCTTAGAGTGGTTCTCCATAACATTTAGTGTAAGGTCCTGAAACGGATCTTACCAGTGATCAAAGAATCAAGACAATCAATAATAACAAGAACGATGTAGAAACAGAAATCTAAACAAGGTTGCACATGCTTCTATTAGGAAAAACATTTGGTACAACTTGTGGAATAGCTGCCGAAAACTCTATGGCTTCAACAACCATAAAATGACCTAGCTAGCATGTATATATAGTAGACCTCGGCTGGCCTTCGGTTTACGACCGTAAACAGGCTTATGACTATAAACTCACTGTCTGGCTGTAAGCACCTTTACAAGCTACCAAAACTGCATAATGACACAAAAGAACCTATTACAACGAAAGACTGGACCAAACTATTAATTAGACCCTTCAATCTTGCCCTTGATTTGGTGATAGCTTGAAATTAATATTTGTCAACAATCATCACATCTTCTTTCCCAATTACCCCATTCCACATGCACTTGTTTATTATCTCAGCAACCATGGATGTGTATTCTTTTGCAGCTGACTCAAATATCTCCTCAACAACTTTAATCTGATGAAGGCTTAGATGATGAATGTCCCATTTCCTAAAATGGAACAAATCCATTATATCATACAGACGAATACATCCATCCTTTAGTTTGATAACAGCAGATGATGTGGTTTCATCAAATACCCAATGAAGCATAGAGCTTACGGATCTATCCAGGTAACTTTGAAGCACGAGAATTTGTTTGACCTGATTTGTTGCAGACCATATCACCACCTGAAGTGGATGACAAGTTTTAGGATCAATGACGTTAGGATAATGCTTTATTACATATTCAATAGTCTTCATAGATGGAAAACCTTTCTTCACTTAATCTTCAAGAAAGTGTTTGAACTTAGTTTCTTGTTGATTATCTGACGGGTTTGAAAAAGGAGATTGGGACAGCTCTGAAAGATCCCCCCTGGTCCAAGAATTAAAATCATAAAAATCTTTATAGAGCTCCGTGTTGCCGATCACCATACATGTCTCTAAACCTTATGGCCTCGAGATCCGTAACAGTGATTGTGGATTGATTCCCTAGTGCGTTTTTGTCGAAACTCCTATTGAACAAGAGTTGTCCCTTCTGAGCAGCTTTGGCTTGTTTGTCACGAATGATCTCTGCAACATGTGGAGCATGAGCAGGCTCTTCTTCAAAACGGTCTACGACCCATGAAGTCTGAGCAGTTGGCACGACAATAGGATGAGCCTGAGAATGAAGATTGAATCTATACTCATTTGCAGATGTTTTATATTTTGCACCGAGATCTTCTTCAAGATTCTTCTTTAGATCAAAATAACCGGAGGTCAGAAGATTGAAATGAGCTTGGAGCTCAGAGATTTGCTTGGTCTTTGTTGCCCTATCCTCTTGAAGATCAGAAACTTGAATCTTCAAATTTGTATTTTCACTCAAAAGATATTCAACTCGAATGCTGAGCTCGATATTCTTCTGGTCCAACACATTCAATCTCCTCTGAATCTCATCAATCACATAATCATCTTATCTTGAATGACCTTCTCTAAAAGAAATTCCTTTGGCTTTAGAAGAAGGTGCAGCAGTTTGTTCTTGGGCAAGATGTAGGGCCAAACGCACATAGGCCTCATCAAGATCTGCCCTTGGAGTAGAAAATCCTGGTGGATTAGAAGATCCATCAGCTTAAAAAATGGTGCTAGGACCTTCACGTAAAGGTTCTATAGATACAATAGCAGGAGTAGTCGTTGGTGTAATCGGCAAGCCGTGAGTCAAGCTAGAATCCAGAGGACTAAACCTAGGATCACGTCTTCTTCTTTTGGATGGAGGCTGCAAGGTCTAGTCTATTGAGCGATCACCCTGAAGTGGTTCAGATGTAGGCGAGGCATTATCAAGGGGAGGAATCCCTCACACTATCACCATTGGAGTTGAAGAACCAACCACATGCTCTATAGAAATTGGTGTTGAGTCAAGATCATCTTCAGTATCCCTTATCTCTGCTGTTGGGAGAGCAACATCACTGATATTATCCAACAAAGTGTTGAGGTTGACATTTGACAAGAAGTCATCACTGCTTCCAAAATTTATAGGAATATCATATTGATCAAAACCATTAAGATCAAGGTCTTCATATTGATCAGTCTTAGTCGCATTCATGGAAGACCCTTCATTGTAGTTGCTTTCAATTTGAACTGATCTCAGGTCATGCTCATCAGCTACAACCATATTAGGAGCAGCTGTCTCATCCCCTTTTTGATCCGATATAGTGATCACATCTCCTTGCGAGATCACATTTTCTGACAAAGTTTGTTCTGAAGATATTTTATCAGATGACCCGTGAGACTCGGACGCCTCATTCGGCTTAGCAAATCGTCCGAATTTGACTAATGGATAAAGTCCTTGAAAAGTGACCTTTCCTTTTCAATTTTATTTAATTAGCCCAATAGTGTGTGGGTCCAAGAACTTCATGTCAAGCGTATCACCCTCTTTTATCATGTCTGTAAATTGTTTGTTTATGAAAAGCTGAATGAACCAAGGATACATTAAGAAGGTATCCCGAGTGATGACATTAATGTTGGCCACAAATTCATCCAGAATAAACCGTGAAAAATTGAAACCAATTCCCGTAATGAGAAAAACTATAACTCCGATGTTTCTCAGTGATATTTCATCTGCACCAGATCTCCTGCCGGAGATGCAGCTCACGAACACATGGGCTAGAAATCTCCAGTAGGGTAGCAGAAGCTTTTTTCATCGTAGGTGGAGAACCGCCCTCATACCCCATCTTCCTCAAAATCGTTTGAGCGTCTTCAATACCAATTTCGGTGGGAAAGCTTGGAAGGTCATTGATGAATAATGTTTCTCTGATGAATTGTTCATTCACTTCAAGAAAAATAGCCTTTAATGACGCGCAAACAATGACACTCCCTGATTCACGTTTCACAGTTTTGGGCGTCCTTAAAAATAATGTCAGACTTCCAAATTTTGAAGGATCGAGGATACTTTTCTACCTTCTTTTCTTCATCTTCACAATCGACTCTCCCCTCTTGTTTCTCTATTGTGAGACGTGACGAAAAGAAGGGAGACTAGGATGGATCTGCCGGTGATGATGAACGGAGGTGTTTTCCAGTCAATTTTGGAGATGGCGTTGTCGATTTCTATAGGTTTTTTCCCTCTTTCCCTAATCACGTCGTAGCCGTGAATCACACACCGCCAGGCAGTGGAAGAAGATGATGAAGTTTGTCGTTGTCGTATGCCTCCTTCCCTCGCTAACTATCTCTGCCCATTCTTTAGGGCTTATTTCTTCTCTGGGACGAATTTGATTATTTTTCTGATTTGGGAACCAAAACATGCGAGATTAGTGAGTTTATTGGTGATAATTAATGGTATGATGATTCTTAACCTATGAACATGAAAATAAGGTAGAAATTTCTTCTCTTTCGTCTCTATCTCACCTGAGATAGAAACAAAATGCTTATTTTAATCAATTTTACTCTTCCAAAGCAGATTGTATTCATGCGGTTAAATTCATTCATATTCCTCATTGACCTTCATATGTTCATTACTACCCTAATTCTGGCTTCTGACGAGTCTTTGAATCCATATGCAGGATTCTACGGGGAAAAATCACCTAGGTTCTCAGGTACAACTCCATTGGACTAATTCGGACCAAATCAAACCCCTAAAACTGCCTTTTGACATGTTAATCATTGTCGATGTGGTGTACATAGAGGAATATCTAACACCTTTACTAGGGGCGGCGAAGTCAATGGTTACTGATATAGGGGTGGTGCTATTAGGGTGTTAAGTTAGGTCGCCTGAAATGGGTAGAGTATCTGAAAGAGATTCTCAAATTCTTTCCCTGTTCTTAATAAGAAATTTACAATCAATGTCAAGGTTTCTACTCTTTCTGAAATTCATAATATTATTTGTTATCTTATCACTTTACGTGGCTTCCCCATTTTTGATTGATTGTACTATTATCTACTGCAGTTGTAGATTTCCACTGAAAAATATTCAAAATTGATTTTTTTATTTTGTGTTTATTATATTTTTCTAATACTATCCAAAATGACAAAGGACATATGATGGTTCGTTATTATGCACATTTCATGAAAGAAGACAATTTTTCTCACACCCACCACCTGTTTGTTTTATTTCTTCTTCCAATTTTGTTGATAGGAAAGTATGATGGATATAGTCATTTGTAGCCATGATAACAATTTTTTGGGGAAGTTGTGACTTGCATTAACTTTTCTCTTTGCATCCAAATTGTGCATTTAGACTTCGATTAACACTATTTGGTTATTGCTACTAAAATTAGGTCTATGGAACCATAATGCATGCATGGATCTCCTCCAGCCATTCAATCCTGTTCCTAAATTAGTCATCATAAAGAGTGATGTCTTTTTGACATATTGGCAGGTAACAAAGCCACTTCTTGGTGAGCTGAACTGAATTTTTTACTGCAGTTACAGACACAATAGACTGGAATGTGCTTCTACATAGTATTATTGATAGAGAATGTTTTTTGTTTTCATTTTTTTTACTATGGTTCTTTACTTTGGTGATTGAAATCAGTACATGATTATATCTTTTTGTAGATTTGTTTCAGAGATTATTCAGGCAAGATCTTTTGGTTGCGAGTTTGTTTCGGAACTTTTTACTTGCAGAGAGAATTATGCGTTTTGCAAATTGTTCCCCTGTATCTTATCCGATGTTTCCTCCAAATCATTAACACCATATGTGGTAATAAACACATCAACTTGCTTATGATGTTATAATTCTTGAATCTTGATTATTTTGGTTATGGTTTGACCACGTGTCATTACAGGGATGCATGGGATATTGTTGCTGAAATCTGCCTTTCTCAACTTCCAACATTCCTCGAGGATCCCAATGCATAATTCTAGGTCTATGATTAAACTGATATTTTCTAGTTACTTCTTCAAATGCTTTCTTGATAAAGTTATTGATTAATTGTTGATGTGGCATTAATATTTTATAGCCAAGTGCTCTTTTCACTAAGCAATTGACAGTGTTTGAGGTGTGTCTGGATCATGGGTCTGAACATAAGAAACCACCTGAGCAGTTGCCTATTGTTCTCCAGGTTTTACTCAATCAATGCCATAGGTTTCATGCACCTGTGCTTCTTGGAAGATTTATCGATATGGGTCCATTGGTTGTTGATTTGGTAGGTTATTTTAGGTTTTTACCTTTTTACAGTTTTACTCAATCTGCATCACTTGTTACATGTTTCTAATTGTATGCTATATTGAATTAGGCCTTGTCAGTGGGAATATTTCCATATGTTCTGAAGCTATTGCAAACAACCACACCTAGGGATGCAAACGGGGGTGGATATTGGCGGATACTGTAATACCCGTCCCCCGAACCCGACCTTTGATCTCCACACCCATCCCTGACCCCAACCCGCCAAATGCCCGACGGTTACAGGTGAAATAATCCCCGATGGGTACCTGTTTAGCAATAAAGTTATGTTTTTAAAAAGGATATGGAAATATAAAACGTAAAAATAATTACAAAATTTATTTAATTCTCCATATATTAAATATCAAATTGTTTTAAAATATTGAAATATAAAGATGTTTAATAAATAAACAACTGTGTTTTTAACATGGATTCTTGAGTAAAAGTTTTGACCCACCACTTTGCTATTTAAAGTTTCCATATTCTTATTTGTTGGAACTTTTGCTATTTTACGTTGACGTATTTTTAATTGTTGGAGCTTTCCTATTTAAATCTTATGTATGCTTAATCGAAGAGGCACACTCTTAATCGAAGAGGCATGCACATGCTAATCTGTTCAATGGACTATACCTCGGTAACTTAAATATGTATTTAATAGATTTTTGTTAAGTTTAGTGTGTATATATATATATATATATATATATATATATATATATATATATATATATATATATATATATATATATATATATATATATATATATATATATATATATATATATATATATATGGAGTCTTAAATGGGGCAGACAGTAGTATATCCGTCCCCGCCCCGTCCCCGTTTTGGGTAAGAAATTGAAACTCCATCCCCAAACCGTTACCTGATAATACGGGGAATACCCGATCCGTTCGGGTCAAATCCCCACGGGTAGGGGGTAATACCCGATCCGCTTGCATCTCTAACCACACCTGAACTTCAACAAATTCTTGTGTTCATCTGGACAAAGATGCTTGCACTTGACAAGGTATGACTATGTGTTCCCTTTTGTTACCTTTTCTCTAGCTTGATATTGATAGCCTTGACTGATGTTGACGTTTTTGAATCTACAGTAATGTCAAGTTGATTTGGTGAAGGATTGTGTTATGATAAATACCAGGATCATTGAGTGGTGGTAGAGTTGTATGCCTGGGTTTTTTCTTGTTTTTTTAAAAGATTTCAGAGGGGCAGAACCAAATGTGGAAGTATAGTTCTTAATGCAGTTTAAATAAGGGTCATTGAAGTTCTTTTTTCAGGTCTAGGTTGGAAAATGTCTCTCGACTTTATGAATTTTGTGCAGAAGTTTTAGAGTGTTTTAAGTTATAAAGTACAAAAGCTTGTTGTCAACGAGAATAGAAACTGCATTTAGAACCGCACTTCCATATTTGGTCCGGTGAGAATAAAAAAGAGTTCACATTGGGTTTATCGATCACATCCAACCATGAAAGAATACAAAATTCTTTACCAACTGGACATCTTCATGCCACTACACTTGCAGATTATCTTGTTCACAAGGCAAGTCGATTTATATTTTATATATCACATAAACCCTATTAGTGCGTTTTTTATGAGAATTGAGTAATATTAACATTTTTCTTTGCAGGGATACATACCCTATTAATTGCATTTCAAATCTTTACATAAACGCTATTAATTGCATTTCAAATCTTTACATGTTTCTGATATGTTTCTTTAAAAGACAGGATGCAAGCAATGAGCTACCAAATTCCCCATGTGCAAAGAAGATGGTGAGCCAATAGTCGTACATTCATATGTTTTTTTTTTTAAATTATAATTCATATTGTAGTGTATTTATTCCAAAAATGGTTTTTTTGCTATCACTATACCTTACAAGTTTTGACAAGTCAAGTATATCTATTTTTTGTAACCGAATCAATTACCCTTCACTCATCATATGCCTCTCACAATTGAATATCTCAAGACTACTTCACTTTCACCAATAAAAGATTACGAAATAAATAGGTAACTTAACAATTAACATTAAGCCTTATATGGTACCAAATAATTAATTAATTTTATGGATTTTTTTACTAGTCCAACTATTAATGATTATCCTGTGGATCAGGTAACTAACCATATGATATTCTTCTTTTTCCATGCATGGTGAAATCCTCATTCTATACTTACTATATAAGCAAAGAATGTATGTTATATTTTTCATATGAATAATGAAGACTACAACATGAGTTTGGATGCATAAAGAAGTACTTTTTCTTCTCTCTCTTACTTTTGCTTCTAACTTGTTTGTAACCCTTTCCTTGTATGTAGACGACACATTGGTGTAAGAAACATCCGCTCACCCTTTTGGTAATTGGCTGGTCCTTAAATGGGAAACTTGATTCTGGAACTCCCAGTCTACCAACATTAGAGTTTAACCAGGTGATTGAAGGTGATTTTGGTTCTTGAAACGAGACTTAAGATATCATATTTTGGCATGGCTAGAAGCTTTGGAGGAAACGAGACTCAAGCAAAAGTAAACACACAGAGAGTTGTTGGCACATAGTAAGCTAGATGATGCAATTGTATATAAATGAGTTCATTTTTTTATAACATGATTTACTCACTTTTGGAATAATTATTTGTATTTGACATATTAGTGAAATGAATTATCTTTGTTATTTATGGTATTTTATTTTTTATTATGAGATTTTTAATGTACTATTTAATTTGAAAATTAATAAACCTATAAATAATATTTTTTTAAAACATTTAAAATTATGATACGCAAAAATGTGTGTCTTCTTCATTTATGACATGGCCTTTCTTGACAAAGGTTTTCTTGATACGCATTCCGTGTCATTAACACGCGCTTCGTAAGCTTACGACATGCGTAAGCGTGTCGTCTTCCTTTATGACAGGGCCTTCCTTGATACGCATTGCGTGTCCTAAACGCGCGTCATAATTGCTCGTCGTAAATGCGCGTCGTCTCTCTTTATGACAGGGTCTTCCTTGACGCGCATTTGCGCGTCATCTGAGCCTTTTACGACGCGCAATGAGCATCGTAAAAGGCTATTTTTCTAGTAGTGATTGATCACAATTTTGCATCTTTGAACGATTGTGTCTACAGTCACAACTCCATTGTTGTCTCTCGTCATTTTGGCAGTCTACCAGAACTCTCGTATGATTTTCTGATAGACAACAGTGTTCATGGTGATGGCGGAGGCCAAACAACATTCTCATAGTCCATGAATCATTGATTTGAAATCCACATGAGCCACCAGAGGATCAGCGAGAACCAATGCCAGATTGTGTATGTCTGCAAACTTTAATGCTGCCATTTTATTTGCACTAAAACATACCAAGTAAGACAAGAGAGAAATTTGAGCAAGTAATATTTTAAATGATTTAATTTCGAGGCCAAATATGAATTATTAATTTTTTAAATTAAATTTCAAGTCATATGGAAGTTTACGGTCAACGAGGGTTTACGGCCGTAACCCATGACCGTAAGCCTATGGCCGCAAACGGAGTTTACGACCGTAAACTCTTCACGGTCGTAAACTTGGGCCGTAAACCCCGACAATCCCTTTTTTGTCGATTTTAGACTGAAAACTCGTTGAATCTCTGAAATAAACGCATATTCTTGGTTGAAAACATGATACCTTCGAAGTGATCAAAACAGTTTCACAAAAAAACGAGAAATTTTTTCGAAGAGAGATAGAGAAAGAGAGTTTGCGGCCGGAAATGAAATAGTGAAGGAGATTCCGACTGTAAACTCCTTTTATATCGTTGATCTTTTTGCCTGCTGACTACACAGTGTAAAGCACAGTCCAGTATTTTCAAAATTTTCAAAAACAAAACTTTTTGAGGATTATATTTAAATTTAAAATTAAAATTAAAATTAAAATAAAATGAAATAAAATAAAATTAATTTTCAAAAATTTAAAAATTAACAATTAAATAAATAAATAAAATAAAAAAAATTAAAAATAAAATTAAAATTACATAAGACAAACAACCTAAAAGTTTTAATTACTAAAAAAGATTTTTTGACACTGGGATCAAAGTTGTTAGACAACCCTGTTCCACTTGTCGGTTCCCTTATTTTCATGTCTTCGTCTGATCAATCGTTGGTATTGTGGTCCACTTAAGCACGAAACATTTGTGACAGAATTTGGACAATTTACAAATGACATGAGCAGCTAGATCTTGTTGTCCACCTAAATTGAGCAGCGAGATCTACAGACAATTTGTATGTGTTCAATTTTTAATTGTATTAGAACGTGTTTCCCATTTCCTGATATGCTCCAACCGTCAAGGACTTCCAGAATACTCCTTACACTGGGTGAGCAGACAATTATTAAGAGAGAAGATAGATTTAGAGTGCATATGCTATACATCTAGGTCGGATCTCTTCCAATCACGCAAAGGATGAAACATATGACTAACTGAAGTTTTAGAGGGATTGTGAAGAAAATGTTGCATATACTGTGTACCAAGTCGGATTATCAGTCATGCAGATGAGACAGTATGTAGCTAACAGATAAAAAGTATTGCATAGAGAGAAGATGCAGAGAGATAGAATTGCATAGGTTACAGTCCAGGTCGGGTCTCTCGATCACGTAGATGAGGCAACATATGACTAATAGACGGAAAGCAGGAAAATAACCTTCTACAAACCTAGTTTATTGGAATTCCCCAGTCACCCCATCAAAACCGAATTAAGGACAGAATCCGGACATCGAGGAAAAGTTAATCCACATTCCTAGATATGGGTTCATTTAATGTGACCGGTAGATTCTCATGTATATCTCCTTGCTCAACCTATGTGAGCGTCGTAATGTTAGGCTAAACGGATCCGACTAGATCAATGTTTGTCAAGTCCTTGAATTCCTTAAGTTCAACTCTTCCTAGTCAAGTCCATTTAAAATCTTTCGTGCCTACCAGCGCACCGAGCACATAGCGTAGACAATTTAATTTTGGTACATTACCCAGATTCAGATTGTCCGTTATCACTTGATAATATCATTTCCCGTCACAACATGTAACAACCCAAAATTTCAAAAAAATTTAAACTTTTCAAAAACATCCCAATTCATTAAGTTATTACAAAAGGTTTTCAATACATTTATTGTCAGAGTATTCCTAGGTCCATTTCATAAAACATAAACACGAGGAGCGGTACGATCACGCCTTTGCCTTGCCACGGTCTCCTGAAGAACCTGAAAAACATTAAACCACAACTGTAAGCCCGAAAGCTTAGTGAGATACCCCTAAAATACCAACCACATATACCATACACATAACATGCCATATCATATCAAATCACAGAACAACCATGCATATCGGGTCTACTGTGAGACTGGTACGCCGTGTCGGGCCTTCAGTCCACCTGGTCCACCCTCTGAGTCCAATCATGTCCCTCGAGTCTGCAGTGTGGTTGGTCCGCCCGCAACGGGCCTTCAACCCACCTGGTCCACTATCTGAGTCTACAGTATGACTGGTCCGCCCGCCCGGGCCTTCAATCGGCATGGTCTACTCTCCGAGCCTCGGCACGTCTGGTCCGCCCTCGTGGAACCTACAGTCTATTCGAACCACTCGCTGGGCCTTCGGAACAACCGGTCCGCCCTGGGTATCTTGGCCTACAGCACGAAGTAGGACCCACCTCTACCCAACTCCAGTCCAAACAACCATGTGCACATAAACATACAATCACATAACAATTCATATACATTCGAACCGATCTAGTAGATCACATAACAGAACATACTCTAACAGGATACTGACCTAACCGGTCACTAGCATAACATCATCCGAAATACTAGGATACCAACCTTAACCAGGTCTCTAACGAATACCATCCTAACTACCCGGATGCAAACATATCAAAGCAATAACATAACAACAGATACCCGGATCTCAATCCGATAAAGGGCCAGCCTTGGTGCCTTAGACCCTGTTGATATAGTGGGTATTGCCTTAGACCCTGCTGATTGAAAGGATAAGATCACACTGCTGCAGCCTCCGACCTGAACTCCAACATTGTCAATACCCAAAAGACTGAATCCAATAAATAACAATAATTACCAAATTACCCCTGGAATCAACTGGCCAACCCTTGGTCAAAGTCAAAGTCAAAGTTTACCCGTGACTGACTCTACTCGCCGAGTCCTCATACGCAGAACCTCCTTCAATTCACGACCTAACTCGCCGAGTTACCCCGAGACTCGCCGAGTCGAACAACTCTGAGCCCACTCGCACACAACTCACCGAGTCACAGCACTTCCAAAAGAAACTTGGACCCTACGACTAGACTCGCCGAGTCCAAGAACAGACTCGCCGAGTCTACGAGTATCTTCAACCTACTTGCCGAGTTGTTCTTCCAACTCGCCGAGTTCCAGGCCATCTTCATCCAACTCGCCGAGTTGTTCTTCCGACTCGTCGAGTTCCAGTCTTTCTTCAAGCAACTTGTCGAGTCCACCCATGTGACTCGCCGAGGACCACCGGGTCTGAATGCATACAGAAGCTTTCCAAGCCATGCAGATGATCCAAACCATAGATCTACTTCTCCTAAGGCCATCCATCACGTAAAGTGGCAATCTTTACGTGAATCCAAGAAGATCTAGGCATTTCACCCTAGGGTTTGGTTTTGGGACAAGATAGCTCCATCAATTACGCAAGAACAGGGACTTTAATGCACTTAAGACCTTCTCCACCCCAGATCTGAGGTAGCAACCTCAGATCTACCCTTCAAACTCAAGATACCACAAATCTAAGCTTCCCACACAACCCCAAAATGATGAATCTAGAAGAACACAGCCCAAGAACGAGATATTACCTCAAAATGAAGCCCCCAATAGCAAGAAATCCGAATCTAAGCAAAGCCCTTTGATCCAAGTCTCTTCTCCTTCAAGCTTTCTTCAACAAGCGCTTCCTTAAGCTCGAAATGCACTCCAATCTTCCACAATCACGCTTTCTAGGGTTTCTGGACTTCAAGGGAGATCAAAGAAGCTGGGGAGAGGGTATGATGTCCTTTAAATAGGGATCATCCTCCGGATTTAGGGTTTTCTCCACTCAGCACCTACTCGTTGAGTCCATCTTTGGACTCGCCGAGTAGGCCACTTAACACGCGATCAAAGTTGCGACCCTACTCGCCGAGTCCACCCATGGACTCGCCGAGTTGCCCTCATACAATTTCACTTTTAGCCCTTCAACTCTACTCTTGATATTCCGGGATGTTACAATTCTCCCCCACTTAAATTAGGCTTCGTCGTCGAAGCAAGCGGCAACTCAACTCTAGAAATTCTCTTGCATTACAACTCCTGGCATTAACCCAACCAGGCTCCTCAAAGCACAACCATGGAACCTATAAACTCACTTTCTCCTTGCTCGCGGTGTCCTAACCACCGCAAAAGCCGGCCACCGACTTTACCCTCTAATAACTACACAAATCACATCCATCACTC